TTAAATGTGCTAGCTATGTGGCTATGGGCAGTTTGTTTGATCTTCCTAAACCCTCATTTCCTTGTCTGTAAAATGGAGATAATGACTATCTCATAAGGTTGTTGTGGGGAAAGTGAAAGGTTCTTAAAAGGTGAATTGTTGTTATTATTGTAGTAAGAGCCAAGATATCATCTATTAGTCTTCAAGTGTTAGGTAGCACAGTGGCTAGAGCTCTGGGCCTGGAATGAAGAAGACCTGAGTTCAAATCTAGCCCCAGATACTTACTGTGTGACCCTGGGAAAGTCATTTAACCTGTCTGCCACAATTTCTTCAACTGTAAAATAGAGATAATAGCACTTATGTCTCAGGGCGGTTGTCAAGATAAAATGAGATAATATTTGTAAAACTTTAAGCACAGTGCCTGGCACATAGTGGGTTCTTAATAAATGCTTGTTTTTCCCCCCTTCCTTTAGCCTACAAGATCTCAGAAATTTTAACACAGAGGATAACCCTAGAAGGCACTGCACAGCTACAGTGGTCTAAGAGAAATGGTTCTAGAGTGAGATTACTAGACCTTGTTTTTTAAAAAAAATAATTTTGAAAATTGTATTTTAATATAGGCAGTTTCCTTTGTTCTCTGTGTATCTTATTTTATGCATTTAAAAACATTATTCCGAGGAAACCATAGGTTTCACCAGATTGCCTAAGAGGTCCATGACACACACAAAGATTCAGAACTGCATCTACTCTAGAAGGGAAAGGTTAAGTGTCTGAAGACCAGAGGGTTAGAAAGGGCTACTAATTTGTAAGATTGAATCTTTCATCATAACACTTTGTCTACCAGGAATGGAATGGATAATTAAAAATGATCATTCTGCATCACTCTATCTGGTCAATCTTGTTGCAATCATTGAATTTGTCTTCTTTAACTTTTAAAGCCTACACAACCTAGATCCAATCTATCTTTCCAACCTCAATGAACATTATACTCCCTTTCTCAGTCTGCATTCTAACCAAACAGGCCTTCTATCTCTTCCTTATGCACAAAATACTTCATCTCCTGTCTCTATGCCTAGGCACTTACTATCCCCCATGCCTGGAATGCCTTCTCTCTTTACCTTTGCCTCATAGAATTCTTCCTTTGTTGTTTGTCCTTTATTTCAAAGAGGACCAGTGACATAATACGGTGATGTCTTGACTTGCAAGTGAATTATATAACCAAAAAACCCCCCAAAGCTCAGCCCACCAACCCTAAAAACTGCTAAACTAAACCAAATTTAGGCTCAGACCACAATAGTAGATATAGAAATGAAGTTAATTCTTATGATTGCCCTGCATTGGCAATCCATTGTTGTGTAAGTTGGAGCTAAAGATATCATTGACAAGAATCAGTATGAAGTACTTGCCTAGGTCTATCTCCAATTCTATTCTTATGTACTATTGCAGAATAAAAACATTTATATCCTTAATCCATTTCATGACCACCAGTGGCTTGCCCACTTTAGCAGTTGGAATCATCTGCATGGAAGTATCTAAAGCAGGTAGCACATTTCTGATTGGTTCCAATATGTCTTGTTACTCTGTCCTCTGGTAAAACTAATCACCATTATAGCTCTGAATAGACCCAATCTGCAACCCAATGCCATGCTTAGATTCATAGGAGTTAAAGCGCATTAGCCAGGGTGCCAAATCAGTCAGCAGCTAGTGTTTCAAGCCTTCCCAGCTACCAGAGAGATCTTAGGTAAGAGTCATTGCTATTTATCACTCCAGCTAGTATTCCTTTTTTTTCCTGCTGCCTCTAAATTGCAACATGGATGATGGGTTGAGTTTTGAGAAGGTTATTATTATTATGTTTCTTAATATGTTGATAATATGTCATTTGGAATTTGATTATATAATTCTAGTGATATATGACTGGGAAAGGTGGACTAGTCATGTATCACAAGGGACAGTTAGTGGATCATAAACTTAAAAAAGATTTGAAAGTTTTGGTTGAGTTACAAAATGGTTGTGCCATCAACAGAAATAGAGAATTGGGAGGAAGGGCAGGTTTTGAGGGGAAGTTGATGGGAATAATTTAGCACATATTGCATTGAAAAGTGTTAATGTGTTGATGCAATACAAAAAAAATATTTATTATGGACCTACTATGTGCCAGGCTGTGCTAAGTACTGAGCCCTATTTAAATAGAAGCTTTGGGAGGATTTTTTTTGCTTTATCCTTCAGCCTTCCAAGCTGAGGCAACTGAGGGTACTGGTGAGGTGGGAATACCAAAGCTAATGCAATCTCTATGATGATGAGGAGTTTCCAGGTGATGAGCTTTTACTGAGAGGTGTGGAGGCAGGACATGATGTCCCATGGAGTCAAATCCAAGGGTATAGATCACAAAAAATGAAGGTATCAGAGAGTGTCAGAGAGATGTATATACCAATGGAGATGTCTAACTGGACTAGACTAGAACTTTAGACATTGGTTCTAGAGATAAAAGTAGGTGACAGTGGATAGAGCCCTTGACTTGGAGTCAGAAAGACCTGGCTTCGAACCCTGGAGCAGACACTTACTAGCTGTATGATGCTGGGGAACACACTGAATCTCTGTCTACTTCAGTTTCCTCAACTATAAAATGGGGCAGTAATGGCACCTATCTCATAGGGTTGTTGTGAAGGTCAAATGAGATAAAATGCTTTGTAAATCTTCAAGCTCAGTAGGGATGCCAATCTTGCAGCATCTACGTAGAATGATAATCGAAGCTACAGGAGGTTGAAAGAATAGAATGAGAAGAGATAGAGCCTAGGAAATAACCTTGTAGGTATACCTATATTATGAGGGTAAGAAGAAGAATTGGAAATATCAGGGATCTAGGAAGACCATTTTGGAGACAGTTGAATTAGAAAGGAATGTCATATAAGACAAAAGATGATGGAATGTCTAGAAGGAAGAGCGGTTAAATGCTGAAGATGTCAAATGCTACAGAAAGGTCAAGGAGGTTCAGGACTAAGAAAAGACTGTTGAGGTTGGTAATCAGGAAGAGAGATGTATCAATACCGTGGGGGAGGTAGAAGCTAGATTTATGGGAGCTAAATTGTTGAGTAATGAGAAAGTAGAGGCAGAAAATATACACCATTCTTTCCAAAACTTCAACAATGAAGGATAGTAGAGTGATAAAATGTTCATACAAGAAGAGCAGCTCAGGGAAAATTTTTTTGCTTTTGTTTTTAGGATGAGAAAGTTAGGCATATATTAGACCTTTCATCCCTTTCCCTGTACCAACTTTTATAATAATATTCTATACTCTATTCCTCCATTTCCATTATCTCCTCCTTCCCCCTCCCTATTTCTCTAATCCTTATAATCTTTCTCCCACCATTCTCCAGGAACTGCTATCTCAAACGTTATCAATGACCACCTACTCAAACTATCCAATTTTTTTTCCAGTCCTTATCTTACTTGAAGTCACCCTAGCACTTCACTTTTGAATACCCATTTCTTTTCCTTAAAACTCTTACAGCTTCTATGACACCCCAGCATTTTGGTTTTCCTCCTGTCCATCTGACAGTTTCTTCTCTTCTCCCTTGCTGCCTCCTCATGTTTCTATTGCACCCTAAATGTGGATGTTCTCCAAGGTTTTTCATTGGACTTTCTTAACATTTTCTGCCCTGAATCAGGGTTTGAACCCAGGTCTTCCTGACTCCAAGTCCAGTGCTCTATCCACTGTACCACCTAGTTTTGTCTCTAGCACTTTCTATTGAGTTCTAGTCTAATCCAGCTAGACATCTCCGTGATGGTCCCTGCCCTAGTGATCTCATTCATGCTAATAGATTCAATTTTCACATTTTAATCAATGACCCCCGAGTTTATGTTTTCAGACATGACTTCTTTCCTCAACTCCATTTCCATATTTTCAATTGCTCACAGGACAGGTCTACTTTGAATGATTCATCTGACCTTCAAGTTCAATGTGTCTACAAATGAATTCATCATATTCAAACCAGCTCCTCATCCTGATTTCCTTAATTTTATTACTGGCACCACCACTTTCTTAGTTACTCAGACTCAAAACCTAAATATTATTGTTTTGCTAACTTCTACATAGAATTATATGCTAGCACCCATTTGCCAACCTGGTGAAAAAGGTTTCCCAATATGAGGCCAATGCCACTGGCAATGTTCTATAGGTCATACCATCTATCTATACATCATAGAATTCCGGATTTAGAGCTGGAAGGTGTGTTAAAAGTAATCTAATCCAATCTCACCCTCTTAATTTTACAGTTGAGGAAACTGAGGTGTAGAGAAGTAAAGTGACTTGCCCATGATAGGAAACGGCAGAGCCTAAATCTGAATGTGGAGCCTATGTCTCCAAATCTAGTGTTCCTTTCATCTGTAACATATTGCCTGCCTGTGAACATTGGGTATGAGAACAGGAGGAACACGAAAGCCATTGTTCTAATCTGCCATAATAATGAGCCTTTAGAGAAAGAGCAGGTCTAAGAGCTGATGAAACTCAACAATTCTTCTCACTGTCAGTGCAGAACAATCCCAGAGGGGCCTTAGGCTCCTCATCTGTAAAATGAGAACTTTGGACAAGATGGTCTCTAGGTTACTGGAGAGTTCTATGTCTCATGATCCTAGGATATTTAACTAATGGCCAGTTGTCTATTTTTCTAGGGCTGAATTGCTGAAAGAACAGCTCTCTTAACCATCTTTTCTGACATCAAATGGGGTAGTAATAACCCCTAAAAGTCTCCAACCCATTGGAAGTTCCACCCCTAATAACTTGACAGGTTTCCTGGGCAGTATTGTTTATGGGTTCCACTAATAACAGACCTCATAGAGAGCCACAGTATTTTAAGCAATAGAGTTTTTCTTTTATTCAGGTGATCACATTCGTGTTTCAACTCTTCACACAGGCTAAAATCCAGTTTCCAAGCTAGTTGAAAAAAAAAAAAAGGCACCCAGGTTCATATAGTCCTGTATACTGAAAGGTACATCTTGGCAGTGAAAACACATTGTACAACAAGCAAAGCATTTCAAATGTATTAAAGAGCACACACAATAGCCAGAACATTTCTCCCCCATTTTGATAGTATCATTATTGGTCATATGGTTGTCAATGAGCCATGTAACATATTGCATTTACAAAACAGATCTTCTATAATTTTAAAGTTTAGATAACTGTAGTGTCATCATTAAAACTCATGTGTTTTACTCCTCCCCCATAAGAATACTGCAACTATTTTCATGACTCAATTGTGTACTATATCATACTTAAGTGACATGGAACACCTGGCATTATAAAAATACTTTATGAATGGAAGTTCAGAACTAAAACAAGTAATACTATAAAAAACATTTGTAATAATAATAGCATCAATCTCTAGACAAAACATTTTCTCCCTCTTAGCAGCTGAATATTTAATAACTTTTTAGGAAACACACCCCCTGAGAGGTTAAGACAGACTAGAATGTCTACTCAAGGTAGACTTAAAGATATTTTAGTACACACTGTCAATCTAGTCTTTTCATTTTTTACAGAATTGTTTACTACATTTCTGATAATGTAGATGATTAATTCTCCTAAAAGATTTCATTTAAGTCTCTGATTTGTTATGAATTTCATTGGTAGTTATAAAAAAAATCAGCCTAGGGAATAAATGTTTGGTATTGGTATCCAACTGCCAGGTGAAGACTACAGGTTTGTCATTAATAGTTCTGTTTTAATTTAAAATCTATTAACTCGGAAAACCTGTGATTGCATTTTGTCCACTGTCTGAAATCAACTCATTCATTTCATTTTGTTTGCTTTCTTTTATGGCATGATTGGGGTGATTTTTTTGAACCTGTGCTCTTCTGGACCTTCTAAAACACACTTTCATCAGCAAGTAACATAATTCAGCTACATTTAACAGCATGCAAATCACAGATGCAGCAATCATGAAAATGGTAAAAACAGACTTTTCGGTGGGTCTTGAAATAAAGCAGTCCACAATATTGGGACAAGGATCAATACTGCATTTCACCACCCAGGGCAGTTTATAGCCATTGTAAAGAAAGTAAAACACATACATAAAGGAGGCTTCGAAGATAATCCTAAAGAAAATACTGCTAGTGTAAGTCCACCATAAAGACCCCTCTATTCGAACTTTCTGTTTTTTAATTTCTTCTAAGTCTTTGAATTCAATCCCTTTCTCTCCTCTCCTAAACTGTCTTTCCTTCTCGTGTCTATTGTATGTAACATGCATGGCTACCAGAAGTGCTGGAGTGGAGACAAAAATTAGCTGCAGGGCCCAAAGTCGGATATGAGAAACAGGGAAGAAGTGGTCATAGCACACGTTTTTGCATCCTGGCTGCAGTGTGTTACAGACAAAATCTTCTTGCTCATCTCCCCATACTTCTTCAGCAGCTACGACAAGGATCATAACTCGAAAAATGAAGAGGACAGTCATCCAGACCTTCCCTATGCTGGTGGAGTGTTTATTTACGCCTCCAATGAAGGTATGCAGGGTACTCCAATCCATCTTGTTGATGACTTATTCCTAATAAGAAAAAAAAAGGCAAATGTTACTCAGAATTTATGCAGGTATTTTTGGAGAAGAGTTGACAGAGGAAGGAATGATCTTAGGGGAAAGAAACATCAAATGAGAGAGGCCAGGAACTAAAGATTTTAGCAATTTTATTTTTTCCTCAAGCACATTGTGGCTGCCCATTAGGTGGCACAATGATTAGAGTGCTGGGTCTGGAATCAAGAAGACCTGAGTTCAAATCTAGCCTCAGAAACTTAATAGCCCTACGATCCTGGCAATTTACATAACCTCTGTCTCAGTTTGCTCCACTGTAAAATGGGGATAATAATAGCACTTACCTTACAGTGCTATTTTGAAAATCAAATGAGAGATTTGTAAAAAGCACTTAGCATATTGCCTGGCACATAGTAAATACTGTAGAAATACTTATTCCCTTCCCTCTTCCCAGGAGCTCTTAATTACAGGAGGCTCCCAGAATGTCCCATGGGAAATTTATTATCCAATAACAAAACTGGTAGCAACTATTCCTGTTCAGCCACCTTCTTCCACGTAAAAGTAAGAGACTATGCATTTGAGTGGCTTCTTGGCATTAATTCAGAAACATAAGTAAACAAATTAATTCCTGTCAGTTTTTTATTCACTGTGTAAATATGTATTATGTAATCAGTTTGGTTTTTCCAAAAGGATTAAAATGTAATGATTTTTTTTAAAAAATCATTGAAATAGTTTATAGAAAGTCATTCTTCAGAGTTGAGTTATATGTAATCTTTGTGTTCAGTAGATTAGAAGAATAAAATAGAAATTGAATGCCTGTGATTATACTTTATACTTACCATTTATGTTTACCAAAAGCTTGTGGCCAGTCTTCTACTTCAAATATTTGCTTCAGTATTTGGAAGCCTAGTTTTGAAGGCTACTAAAAACACCTCTGGAAAGGAGGACTATATGCTTTTATAAAAAATGACTTTTTAAAATTTGTTTTAGCTTAAAATGTTCTTCTGGACAGTTTCTTTTCATGTAGCTACTCCTGAAATATGCAAGGTGAGTGGCACCAGGAACTGAAGAAGGAGCTAGTTATGTTACAGCTTATGTCGCCATTTTATTAACCTTCCAAAGATGTTCTTCCTTTTGCCAAGAAAACTCCTGCACTATAAGCTAATTCCTTCTTGTTCTCCATCACCACAGAAGCCCCCTAGACTATTATTTTCTCTTTTAAATTTTTTTTTTATTGATGTGTTTGGTTTTACATTATAAACATTTACAGATTATCCCCACTCCATGAAGTCTCTTGTAATAAAGTAAAACAAATAAGTAAAACTTAAAGCATAGTAGCCTCATCTGAAAGTGCATGATACATTCCATGCCTGTAGCATCCCTTCCTCTATTTCAAAAAATTAATAAAAATCTATGTTATGACTTTCAAAAGTTTCCTTATAACAACCATTCTTGTATGTGGATGCAATAATTATTGCATTTTTTGGCCTTCTCTTTTGAATGAATTTAGAATTTTGAATGAATGAAAAGCTATTTATTAAGCTCTTACTATGTGCCAAGCATTGTGTTCAGGTCTAGGGATACAAATATAAAGAGGAGCTTACAAGGAAAACCACATGTGGTCTTCTAATACATAATATAAAATGTATAGCAATGTAAAAGAAACCAACTGTATTGAAATAACACTATCAAAATATTTTTAAACTGTATGGGAGTGGTGGCAAAGGAAAAGAGTTGTGATCTGAGAAATCATAGTGACAGTTACTGTTCATATATTTAGCCATTTAATTAGTTGGGTGCCTTTTTTGGACTCTCAGGGGTATAAATTACTCCCTTGGATAGTCTCATCTCAATGATGGCAACACTATTATTCTCTCTTCAAACATTCTTAGGTTCCGCCCCCCCCCCCATCATCCAGCACCTAAGCTCTGAGAGTCACTTGGGTGCTAAAGGTGTGCATACACCTCAGGCCATAGTCCTGAGACATTACTAAACTTTTTGGTGAAACAATGCTGGCTGCCCTTTCAGTTGCTTTTCTTGGGCACTCCTCCCTTCTGTCTTTACAAAAGATCATAGTGCCCATAGGCACTGGGAGTTTGGGGGCAGGTACTAGAAACACACTTTCCCTCACAGGACTCAAGACTATTTGTTCATAATTCTCATGCATTTAAACCAGGGCATAGGGAAGCTGGAACACATACTTCACTGGGAGAAAGTTTGCAAAAGTACAATTTGGAATTTCTATGCCACACATTCTAAGAGCTCTTCCACCATTCTCCCCCATCCCCAATCTTGCCCTTTGCCAAAATGCACAGAAGCAATTATGGGAAAACTCTTCCCTCCACAGTGCTTACTCTACACTAAACTAGTCTTCTAGGAACTCCGAAGGATGCAAAAGAAATAGGATCTGAGGATTTTAGAGCTGGAAGGGACCTTAGAAATTATCTAGTTCAGTAGTTCTTTTCTGAGAGTCTATGAACTTATTTCATGTTTTTTTTCCTTATAATATATTGATAAGTATATTTCAATATAATTAATCTTCTTTATAATCCTATATATTTTATTTTACACATTGAAAACCTTATTCTGAGAAGGGATTCATACCAAAGGTTTACATGACTCAAAAAAGGGTTAAGAACCTCTGAGTCTAGCCACTTCTTTTAGATAAGTGGTAACTGAGGTCCATGGAGGTTAAACGCTTTGTCCAAGGTCATAGACGTAATAATAATAAGCAGCAGAGTCAGGATTCAAACCCAGGTCCTCTGAGAACAATCCAAGGCTCTTTCTACTATTCTACATGAATCATAAGTGAAGCTGATTAAGAAGTTATATAGAGAAACCAACGTGGCAGTCAATAAACCTTTCAACAAAAGTTTATTAAGTCCCTCCCACGTGCCAGGCACCGTTCTAAGTCCTGGGGATACAAAAAGAGGCAAAAGACAGTAATGTCCCTCAAGAGGCTTACCATCTAATGGCAGCCCAAGGTAATCTCAGAGGACATAAAAGATAGAAGCAGGTGCCCACAAACAAGCCATTATTAATATCAACCAAGACATTAAACAGAGAAGACGGATCCTTACCAAAGGTTAATAGAAAAAGAGTAGCACAGAACTTTAAGAAGTGTCGTAAAAGCTAAAACCCAGAATGAGCTGAGGCTTATGGAATAGGCTAAGGACAACAAACAGCTTTTTATGGTCATGCTTGGAGCAAGGTAAGAATAAATAAGGTAATGGTTCATGATTTAGGGCAAGTGACATTATGTCACATAAAAGAATAAAAACTATTCAGTTTCGATTTTGCACTTGTATTCTTCATCAAAGCAAATGATCTTTAAATTGTAAAAGGTAAAAGGAAAATGGGAATTCAAGTCCAAGGAAAGAGTAAGAGATCCCCTAAATTCCATGAAATGAGGTCAAATTACTAAGCCTAGATAAATAATAACATAGGGTACTGAAGGGGGGAAAAAAACAACTTGCAGATTGGATTGATAAATTATTTTTTAAAAAATGGCTCAGAAGACTAGAGGCAGTCAAAAGTCGTTCCAATTTTCTGAAAGGAGGGGAAAAGATTCTAGAAATTTCAAAACGGTAAATTTAAAGATCATCCCCAGAAAAATCTGCATCTTATGAAGCAAACTTGGCAAAACATGTTATCACTGTCAATCTGGAAAGTGTCTACGAGAACCGTGGATTGTAGGGTTCTTCTTGTAGCCCTGTCTTATCTTAGTGTATTTTAGCCACAGTTTCAGCCGAGCCATCAAAGGTATGCTCTAAGTCCTTACTCATACTTTCCTCCTCGATATAAGCTCCTCAAGAACAGGGACTGTTTTCATTTTTATCTTTCTGTCTTTGCACCATGGAGACAGAGATCTCCATGGCATGGAGCAAGTAGTTGCCATTTAATAACTACTTGTTGAAGTTACCCACCCAGACAGGTTCTGGATGTTTGTAATGTGAAGGCTTATTTTCTAATTCAATTGAAAAAAAAATTGGTTCAATATATTTAAATCTATGTAAGCACCCTCTTTGAAATACTTACGTGTGCTATTTAGGAGGCTCTATAATGTTTCAGGGGTTGATGTAAACAGAAAAATGACTGGAAACATAAACAGGAAAATCTGGAGAACATCTTCCATTTGGACATTATGCTGGAAGTCATCCATGATGGTGGCAAACACTTTTGGCAAACATACATTTCCTTGTTTTAAGCCTTGCTTGACACCAACAACCAGAGAGTATAATTTGGATATATTCATGGGAGATATCATGTTGGAAGAAAACCCTTAAGGCAACATTTTGCTTTACAGAATCAAAATTTTTAAAAAATAGTCAACAAACAATAAGCATAAGGGGGATCTTATATTCTTTGTATTGTACAATTGTGTATTTGTAAAGTGATGGTCTTCTGTAGAAAATAATTCAAGAATGTCTTCTGTTCCCTTCTCATACCTTTATCACTCAAAAGATTTGGGTCTAGTTATCCACATTTTAAAAAGTAGATAAAACATACCTGCTGTTCACATCATGATATGCAGTTGGATGGACAACCCATAGAGTACATTAGCATGTATTTTAGGCAGACACTGCATGGACAATGAGCTGAGCCCAGAGTTTAACAGAATATCTGGATCGCCCTTGGGAAAATGTACAACACTTTTAATGACTGAATTTCTACCTAAACCAAAACCCGTCATTTGAATACTATTGTGGTGATGCTGTATGAATTAAAAAATTTCTTTACGAGCCATTTCATTATACTGGGGCACTGGGGCCCTAGCAAATACAGAGCAGACCTTGGTTACAGGTAAAGTTGGGTTCAAGTGCTTCTCTCTCAAAGACTCAAGTTACTGGGAAGGTGCTGGCCTGCACTGGTGCATAGACTTTCCTCATTTGAGAGTTCCTGATACCAGTGAAATCACAATGAGGATGATACCTATCTCTACTAATACTCACCAAAAAAGCCAAACATTTGAAGCTTTTCTTTTAAGACACAACAAATCATGGTGTCAGCTTAAAACCACAAAACTCACACATTGGCTTTAATGAATTTTGAGGTGTGAGGGACACCTCAAAGGAAAAATTGAAGGGAAATAAAACAGCATTTGGAGAAGTTGGGGAAAAATCTTTCCCCAGCCCATGCTCAGATCAGCTTCCTATGGGCCATATATCTGCCTAAAAAGAAGTGAAGGATCTAAAGGAAACCTTGGCAGGAGTAGGGCTCCATTTTCCTTTCTAGACTTTTTTTGGGCCCCCAGAACATGTGATGTGGAGAAAAAAGAAAAAAAAGCAAGAAGGGGAGAAGGAAAGAGAGAAAACAGAAGGAAAATCTGAGCTATCTAAGAGGAGAATGTGCTGCTTGGAGAGGTCATGGGTTCCCCTTTCTCTGGAGGTCTTCTAGGACACGCTGAATGAAGTCATGTCAGGGATTGTTTGGAGGGATCCACTTCATGTAGAAACTGAAATAGCCTCTGGATTTTTTTCCCCCAACTCTGAGATTCTATGGCGGTGAAGCAAAGGAGAGGGGAGCACTAAGTTAAATAAGAAAGCTCCAGCTAACATAAACGTTTTACTGCAGTTTGAAGGTGGCATCATAATTAGCACATACTTTTAGGAAAAGGGACAAAACTACAACATGGTAAGCTCTTCAAACTCTTTACATCTTTACATGTCCTTGTGTCTTTCTCAGAGCCTTTGCATATTACTTTGCATAAACTTAATTTAATACTTCAAGAACCTGTAATTTTTTTTTCTTGGAGTAGATACTTCTTCCCCTCCATGTCTTCCTTAGTAGGCTGTTTCATGATTTGCTGTGAACAAAAGGCCTTCATTCATGACCTAGAGGCAAAATGCCTGGTAAGGAACTACTCCAAAGCTGGTTCTTGAAGGATAAGTGTATGATAGTTACCAGAACTTTCTTTAAGCACTTTTTAGCTTGGTAAGACTTTCAAGGAGTTTGCGCTCAGTTTGTGAGAGCCTATAGGAGCCTAGAGTCCATTCTTTGGTATAATGAATCATAGGAATATGGTCTTAATAGAAAGCTATGTACGCGAAAGTCACTTAAGGTGTATACATTACATCTTTAAGGAATTTTGTATAATTTAGACATATGCATGGTAGACAGGAATGTCATTGTTATGAATCGTCAATTTAAAAACTAAATGCAGTTGTATCTGGTATGCTGTGGTTACTCAGTATGACTAATCCAACTAACAAATAATCTGATCCAAATATCCACTTGTAATCAGAGGTACAACTTGATAAAGACAAGATCTAGTGAGATTCTGGGATCAACACATACCACCAAATACAGAACAAAAGATGTTCAATAAATCTGCATTGATTTTGTAAATAGTGAAGATTTTTTAAATCATGTATTGCCTTTTAGCTAAAAATTGTCATTACTAGGTAACTTCATAATTTAATTCTATAAATGTGTTCTGTGTGCCAGTCAGTCAATAAACACTTCCTAGCTAGTTTCTGTAATTGTCATCATCATCATCATGATGTCTAGGGGAGCTAGGTGGTACAGTGGATAGAGCTTCCTGAAGTCAGAAAGCCCTGAGTTCAAATCTGGCCTCAGATACTCATTAACTATGTGACCCTGGACAAGTCACTTAACCCTGTTTGCCTCGGTTTCCTCAACTGTAAAATGAGCTGGAGAAAGAAATGGAAACCACTCTAATATCTTTGCCAAGAAAGCCCCAAATGGTGTCATAAAGAATTGGACATTACCATACAATAAATATATTGCCTACTATGTGCCAGGTACTCTGTGTGTGTGTGTGTGTGTGTGTGTGTGTGTGTGTGTGTGTATTTTTCCCTTAAATAAGTATGCAGTGTTTCCTAATGACAGTACTAGAATACTCCAGTGTGTTTCCAGATAGGGGGATCTGTGAAATTCTCAAATTTTTGGTTGATTTCTAAATAAATTTCAATTCACTTTAATTGCATTAATGTACCATTACTCTAAAATGTTTGGAAGTCATTGTAGCATTCCAGTAACATGTAATCAAATTGTAAAGCATGAGGAGGAAAAACTAGATAAAATAAGTTCCAAATCTATGCTTACTCTATTCTTTCTCAAATAAAGATAATGAAAAAAAAATTTTAAAAAATCAAATAAAGATAATGCATTTAGGATGATTCTTTATAGATATTACAGTTACAGAATATTTAGAATAGAGAAGGTAAAACATGCTTTATGAATTTCCCTTTGCTTTTTTAAAAATAAATTTCCAGAAGTGAATTTTACTTTTCTAGGTACTTTCCAATTTCAATAAACAAAATGTCTCTTTCCTTTTCTGCCTCAAGACAGCTATGGGCCTTGAGAGAGGAAATATTGTAATAAAAAGTAAAATATTAACCAGACAAGCTTAATTTAAACAAAACTTCATTTTGACTGAAGGCTTTTTAGTTACCTCTTTTAGGGAAAAGAACATACTGCTTAGCTTCAGTATAATTAAACTTTAGAAAATATGGTGTCATTTAAATTTGTAAGAGATGGGTAGAATTTTTTTTTTCAAATTGAAATGCATAATTAACTTGAGTAATTCAGCATCACACCCATATTACAAGAAGAAAATCTGTGACTTCAGTGGTGGTGCCAAAATTTAGGCATCTTTGTGAAGAAGGAGATAGTTCTTGTCTTTCCCTACTCCAAATTAACTTGCTTTGAAGTACCTAGATACACCATAATTCTATACCAAAATAGTATAATTTTTAAATGGATATATTTATTCACTAATAATTGGTATATTCATTGTCTACTATGTGCCAAGCACTGTGTTAGGTACTGAGGGAGATCTTAATTCCAATTCTTCATTTTTCTACAATAATATAATAGTAACTTGTAGATTCAATAATATTTTAGTTTCACAGTGAAAGGCACCAAAAAAAAAAAGAAAAGAAAAGAACTTTGCAAGCTATCTCAAAGTATTTCCTCAATTCTTAGCAGAACCTTCTGAGTTAGATAGTATATTTATTGTTCTGGTTAATATTACTCCCCTAGATAAACTGAGTTAAAGACTTGAAGTGACCTCCTTAAGATCACTTAGTGAATAATTAATATACTAGAGACTAGACCACAGGCCTCTTAATTCCAGTTTGTTTAAAGCTGGGTGCTTGTATTAGTAAATGGAAGAAAAACAAAATAATCCCCCACCCCCATCCCAACCTTTTTTGGTCTTAAGTTTTATTTTAAGGGACTCACAGTGATTTTGGTGAAGAGAAGATAGTTAGATCAAATTCTGTCCTTAAGAAGTAGAAGTCTTAATCTTCTACAACAGTGGATTGTCCAGAAGTCCCACGCTGCTGCATCATAATGCAACTTTTTACTCTGTTTTCAGGATTTCAGAGTTATTGCCACCTGTTTTTAAAAAAAAGAGAGAAATCATAATTGTTTTTAAATTACCCTCAGATTTTAAAATGAATTTCTATGTTGCTTTTGGGACCAATCCTTTATTTACCTACAAAGCTTTGGAAAAAGGTAAGGTTAGTAGGATACTTTAAAAAAAAAATCAGAACCTCTCCCAAGTTAATGAGTTTTTGGGTGCTGAAACCGTTATTGATCAAAAACAAGCAAAAATTCTTCAAACAAAATTTAAAAATCAAAATTTCCCCCTTTTCAGCTAATCTTTACTAGAAATTTAGAAAAACCTCTGCCCTTTTCTTGGTCTCCTAAGAAACTGAGCTTCATGAATTTTAGTCTACTCTTTAAAATAGAATCTCAGTGCATCCCTATTTATTGTAACTAATATTGATCTTGCATGTGAATAGATTCACATGTTCTTCTCTGTTTACTAAAATTCAGAATTTCCATGAAGATGTGTAGAAAACTAGCTGATATTTGAGATATGTATTATTATCTAAGTTCTTTATGTTATTTAATAATCTAAATAGATAAAATTTTTATTATCTTCTAATTTCTTCCTGTTGACTTACATAAAGTTAAATCTTGACTCTAAGGCTTGTTAGTAAAGTTTTTGTTCATTCAACAAATCTGTTTCCTTTCCAATTATTTTAGTATAATCAGGTTGAAATGACCCTGGGAATAAAGAATGAGAAGTCTTTCCGCGTACCTAATTCTGTCCTCCAGAGGAGCTAATGGGAGTCATTTAAAAGACTCAGAGCTCATGAACTAGAAAAGCTGACTAAAAACTTATTTCCTGCCCCAATTCTAGTATTGTTTTATTACTAATTAGAAGAACCAGTATGAACTCATGAAATATGAAGATTCAACCAATGAAAATGAAAAACTTGATGATGCTTCACAAATTATAATTTAGCTAAGAATTTTGCACAGCAATTCACAAAAGTCCACATGTAAAGATGAGACTAGAAATGTGGAGATTTCCGCCCCCCAGTTAATTCAATTCAACAAGCATTTATTAAATGCCTACTATGTGCCAGGAACTGGGTTAGGCCCTGGGGTTATTAAGAAAAACAAAGCAGTGCCTGTTTTCTCTGAGCTTTTTGGGAAGGGGGGGAACAGAACAAGCATTTATTAAATGCCTACTATGTACCAGACACTGTACTAAGCACTTTACAAATATTATCTCATTGGATTCAGAAAAATGTTTAGTCAGCCTCTATGTGTCACTTTCTTGACACCCTTCACTCTCAGATTTGGCCTTACTTAAGTGAAAAAGATGTTCAAAACAAACAGAATGAATTTGTCTTCATATATAGCACCAGAAGCTGCTAAAAATCAGTAATGTATTTTGATTTCTCAAAACAATCCAGTTGTTTAAACACACACACACACACACACACACATCACTTTTCAGTTGTAAACTGGGAAGGGATTTTAGATCCCGACAAGGTAAATTAGAGTCTAGAAGTGTTGAAATGCCAATTAATATATGGAGTTGGCTAACTCTTTTCCCCCAGCTCTCAATGCCTCCTTGGTCTTTTTCTTCTTGGCAGAATTGAAACAACTCCCAAAGACTGTGCCTGATCCAAACAACAGACAAAGGTCTGTACAAGAACAGTTTTGAGCAGCATCCCAAAGATCAGAAATTCTAAGAGAAGTGCAATGGGGGCAGAACATTTTCTTCTAGAACATAGACTATATTTATGAAAACTGGGGCAATGAAACGTAGTTTATACTAGAAAACAAATTCAACTAAGAGAAATCAAAGTGGTCCTGGATTCCACAATAAAATCAATCGTGTAGTAAGTTGACAACTGGATACTATCCATAAACAGGTGCAAGGCTGGTACAATAGCATTTTGGGAGTTCAAGCTTTATTGACTATGTGAGGCTGGCCAGCTCTTCTGGTTCAGGTTGGGACTCCTAATGTGAGATTTTGTCAAGCATGCAGTCACCTCAAGTCCATCTATGTCCTTCCAGGAAGGGAGGTTAGATGACACATTGTGATACTTTGGGATGGGTCTCCTTTGCTGGATTGGGAAGTGTCCTTCCTCAGTTTCCTCCTTTATAATCAGGTGTGTCACCAATTACCTTTAATTATTGTTGTCCTCAACTCTAGGCTTTAGGGTTTGACAAATCTCTGAAGCTGCATGCCATGCAGGCAAGGTTGTTAGAAGTATCTGGGAGTTACCGCTGGTTGAAACGTCTTCTTAAGATTTCTTACCTTTTCCCCACGAATATCGAGTCCTCATAAATACAAGAGAAGGACAACCAGGATGAACAAGAAGGGGGTGGAGGTAGGGAAAGGCCAGACACTGTACCCTTGCCTACTTATACACAATATGTTTATAAAACCTGTTGTACAAGTCAATTAGGAAGCAGCCTGGGTTAAAAGTCAAACCAGGCACGTTCCCTTGACTAAGCATTGGGGGTCAAGTTTAGTAAGAAAACACCCTGGATTCTACTGGCACAGCCGCCGACTCTGATATACCTGATGGAGGATGCAGATGACAAAGTAGATATCAGAGCCCCTATCCAAAGCGCACCTTCAGCTATGTACTTAGCGAACCCCATTTCCTCCTTCCCTGGTAACCCCTATACGCACGGCCCCACACGACTGCCAAGTTTCCAAGAGCGCAAAGGGTCTCTCCTCCTCTTTCAGCAGCTGCTAATGGACTCTCTACCAGGGCATAATTCCCCAGGGAGGAATCGATCACTGCAATTCTGAGGTCTTCTCATTTTAGGTAGGGATGGAGAGGGAGAACCGGAAGGAAAGGGATGGACCACCCTACGAATACTGAGCTTCCTTAAGGGGTGTGGATACGGGTGGGGTGGGCAGGTTCCCAGGTCCTGACACAACTCCGACCCCGGACCCCAGTTCCCAAACCCCTTTTCTTGCAGTCAGCGCAGGCAGAGGAAGGTGGCGCAGGGCTTACCTGTGTTAGTGGCGTGTGGCAGGCGTGTGGGCACTCCGTGAATGATGGAGGGGGCGGACGGGGAGGGACTGTCGAGGGAAGGGGAGCGAGGGGAGGAGGGTCAGTTGGGCAGCATGTGAAGGGGCGAGGTGCGCGCTCCCTCCAGTGTCCGGCTTGCTCCCGGGGTCGCTGCCTCCGCCCGGGTGGGCGGCCACTTGACACCACCCTCTGCGGCGGCTGCGTCCCTAGCTCCAGCCCGGGCTCTTGCCTGGGTGTAGGAAGTTCAGGGGTTTCCTGCGGAGTTTAGGTTAAGGCACTCACTTTCCACCTGCAGCTCCTTTTAACCGCACCCCCCACCCCGCCTCTTCCCTGACGCGACTCGGGCGGACTCCAGTGCCGTTGCCCTACAGCTTCGTGGAGCGCAGCGGGCGCGACGGGAGCGGAGCAGAGAGTGTAGGGCAGAGCCCGGGCGCCCGGGCGCCCACCGCGCGGGAAGGGCGGCACCCAGAGCACTCCATCCACGCCTCCGCCCGCTGGCTCTGCCGGGGTCAGCTGCCAGGGAGGCCGGTGCAGCGGGCCGGGTAGGGCACCGCTTGCTGTATTTCGGGTCCCATTCTTTTCCTCTCCTTTCACTTTCCTAAGGTAAGGGGTCGGAGCAGATCTTTAGCTGAGGATCAAGACGAGAGATGGGTAGTCCTGCCATTGGCCACCAGAGCAAAATGCGCTTGTCAATCAAGAGCTTCCTACACAGTCTAGGACCTTTTTTTTTTTTTTAATTTTTAAATTTTAATTAATTATTATTATTTTTATTTGTGTAGTTAGTAAGGGAGGACCCCTCTGCCTTTCGGCCAAGACCTCTCCTTACCTCATTTTTCATATTCCCTCCTAGCATAATAATAATAACAACAAAAGTTAGTATGTATGTAGTGCTTTACAGTTTGCAAAGCACTTGACAAGGTATCTTATTTGAGCTTCACAACAGTTCTTTGAGAGTGCTATTATTACACCCATTTTGCTGATGAGGAAACTGAGACAGAGAGGTTAAGTAATTTACTAGTAAGTTTCTGAATGAGAATTCAAACTGAGGTTCCCTAACTCCAAATCCAGCACCCCAGCCACTAGGCCATCCTGTTGACCTTGTACAAGACCTTGTACAATTCACTCTCCACCTTCCTAGAGAGCTGCCTACGGACATAAATATCATTGTTGTTGTTACCATTTATTAATGATACCTTGTGGTACTTATATATATATTTTCATTTGTTTAATGATCATTTAAATTAGATACCTCCATACTTGTCTGGCTCCTTCTAGGAGAAACAGCTGGCTTGTAGATTGTGATATTCCCTTTTACAGAGACCAGCCAACCACTGGTTAACAATAGAGGGGTGATGTACTCATGTTAGGGAGGCAGTTAGCCAAGGGAACTACTGAAGGCCCTTTAGGGACCTGGTCCTACAGGTTCTAACCTGATCTAATTCAGACACGAAATGTGATTTGCTTATTTAAAAACAACAAAGATGAAACAGTATTGACCCACCAAGCATTGCTCCTGTGTTGAATTAGATTCTCTGACGCGGTCAAATCTGGTGGCAAGTTTTTAGACATCTCTTCAAAGTTACAGAGGTTCAAGTAGGGTTGTAAGTTTTGTCCTGAAATATTCTATTGAGAACAATAACTGTAATGTCCTGTTCTCTCCCTTCCGTCTGTCCAAATCTACCCTTCAAGGCCCCAGCACAAATCTCATCACCATGAAGCCTTCTCTGATTATTCCAGCAAAGTGATCTCTTCAAATAATATCTATTCTTTGTATATGCCAATCATGTATTGTCTTTTTAAATTTTATCTGCCTCTTTGTGACTCTGGGTAAGTCTCTTCATCTCTTTAATTTCTCATTGCTCTAGGCAACTCTGTAAGATTAAAGGTTGAAGAGAAATTGGCATAGTTTCTTCACCGGGGAGTATACCAGTTACATCCTGAATCCTCATCCTTATTTAATTTAGTCAACAAAAATTACATGTAACCCAAAGGAGAGTGGAAAGATTCATGACAGGTTAAAGTGAGCCACAGCACATTACCAGTGATGACTTGCATTATGAATAGACATCATTAAAGACAATGTATAACTGGAAAAGGGGTTGTCTGGTTATGTTGAGAATGAAATTCAACAGATGTACAGACATATTGGTAATATGGCAACCCAAAGATAAAACAAAAGAATTAAGAGGCCTTCAGTACCTTGGTAGAATTCTGGGAAAAAAATGTAGGGTTACACAGGCTAAGAAGGCATGGAGGGCCTATGATCTGGCTGTCCCACATGCCTGGAATGCTCTCTTGGTTTCACTGGCTTCCTTTAAGTCCCGACTAAAATCCCATCTTCCCAAACCCTCTTAATTTTAATACCTTCCCTTTTAAAATTGTTTCCTATTTATCCTGTTTATAGCTTGTTTGTACATATTTGTTTGCTTGTTGTCTCCCCCATTAGAATGTAAGTTCCTTGAGGCAGGGATTGTCTTTTGCTTCTTTTTGTATCCTCAGTGCTTAGCACAATGCCTGCAACGTGGTAGATGCTTAAAAATATTTATTGACTGACTTACATTAGGAGTAACCAGACTCATAAAAATCATAGACCTTTCACAATACTTATTTAGTTAACTAATCAATCAATCAACTAACATTTATTAAGTTCTCCTTATGTTCCAGGCATTTTGTCTATTTACTAGTGATACAAGGGCTAACAGGTGGCGCAGTGGATATCATGATGGGCCTGGAGTCAGGAAGCCTCATCTTCCTGAGTTCAAATCCAGCCTCAGATATTTACTACTTGTGTGACCCTAGGCAATTCACTTAACCTTTTTTGCCTCAGTTTGCTGATTTGCAAAATAAGCTGGAGAAGGAAATGGCAAACCACTCCAAGAAAACCCCAAATGGACTCACAGAGTCAGACACCATTGAACAACAACTAGGGATACAAAGTCAAGAATAAAATAGTCCCTGCCCTCAAGGAGCCTACTATCTTTTTTGGGGGTGGGGTGGGGGGAGGAAGAAAAACATAGACCCATATAGGGATTTGCAAAATGTATGTAAATACAAAGTCATTTGGGGGGTGGATGGGAAGGCAATAGCTTTTGGATCAAGAAGGGCCTTTGAGCTGAGCTTGGAAGGAAGCTAGAGATTCTAATGTACAAATGTGAGGAGGGAGTGCATTCTAGTCATGGAAGACAGCTCATGCAAGGGTATGGAGATAGGAAATGAAGTGTCATTTGTGAGTAAGATCAAGAAAGCCAGTCTAGTTGGACCATAGATTGCATGAAGTGAAGTAATGTATAATAAACCTGGAATGACTGACTGTAGCTGGATTGTAAAGGGCTCAGTGAATGCTTACTGAATAAATGAAACCATGAATACTAGAAAAGGAGCCCAGAAATTCCTGTATTACAATGAAGGAAGAACTGGGTGCAAACCTACTAGGTATTTAGTACTATGGAGGTCAAGAACAACTGCAAACTTCTATTAAGCACCTACTCATTGTTGAGCACAGTACTAAAGGATGGCAGGTCCGTGGACTTTGACAAAATTTTTGCCGTCATTGAGACTTAACATGTTACACTTGACAGTGGAATAACACACCAACACAGACAGCTATGATACAAAGTGTTACATAGCAAATGCCTTAGAAACATATAAAATGAGCTATGTGAGGACTAAGACTGAAGGTCATTATCAACTGGAGGGAAGCAGGAAAGGCTTCCTAGAGGAGATGGTGTTTGAAATGGGCTTTAAAGAATGGGGTAATCCTTTAAAATTCAACAAGTGAAGACAAGGAGGCATACAGGCATAGCAAAGGCAGAAATTAAAAACTGTATTTGGAAACAGAGATGATATTTATAAAGCATGTAGCACATAGAATGCACTGTACAAATAATAGCTATTATTGCTCTTGTTGGGGGTAGGGTGGAGGGAAAGGAGTTTTGAACTTTCTTTGACTGGAAATAGGGAACCATTGAAGATTTTTGAGCAGAAAAGTGGGATGGATGATCAGATCTATTTTCCAATGAAATAATGTGCCTTGCAAATCATAAAACAATGTGTTAGTATGATTATTATCCTCAGCAGCAGAGGCTGAATCTATACATAAGAAAGGTTATTTTGGCAAAAATAGGTTGAATGGATTGGAAGGTGAGAGATATAGAGAGGAAGACCTCTAAGGAAGTAAATATAAATAGTTCCGGTGAGTGATATTAAATATCTTTGCAAGGATGGTAGTGATCTAAATTCAAGACAGGTAGAATCAGCAAGATCTGATTGAATATCCAAGATAAAAGAGATGGAAAAACCAATGATAATCTCCAAATTTCAAGTATGGGTAGACAGAAATAATGAATTCAGGAGTAGGAGCAGGTCTATGGGGAATGACAGAAACCCAGTTCTGGACTTGTTTTTGAGATGGCACAGAGAAATCTAGGCACTTGTGTGCCTAGGGTCACACAAGTAGTAAATATCTGAGGCTGGATTTGAACTCAGGAAGATGAGGCTTCCCGACTCCAGGCCCATCACTATATCCACTGCGCCACCTGTTAGCCGTTGTATCACTAGTAAATAGACAAAATGCCTGGAACATAAGGAGAACTTAATAAATGTTAGTTGATTGATTGATTAGTTAACTAAATAAGTATTGTAAAAGGTCTATGATTTTTATGAGTCTGGTTACTCCTAATGTAAGTCAGTCAATAAATATTTTTAAGCATCTACCACATTGCAGGCATCGTGCTAAGCACTGAGGATACAAAAAGAAGCAAAAGACAATCCCTGCCTCAAGGAACTTACATTCTAATGGGGGAGACAGCAGTTGGAGGTATAAAGAAAGGTCAGGAGCAAGAAATGTAGATTTGTTAGTTCTCAGCATAGTAGTTGACCCCATGAGAACGAGTGTGTGTGTGTGTGTGTGAGAGAGAGAGAGAGACAGAGAGACAGAGAGAGAGACAGAGAGAGAGAGGAAAAGGCCTAGGGAAGATATCCCTGGGGACCACTCACATTCAGGCATTTAGAGGATGAGCAGCTAGCAAAGAAGACCAGAGAAAAAGCAGTTAGATAAAGAGCTAGGAGAACCAGGAGAGTTGAATGGATAGAAGTGAAGAGTGACAAATCTCTTTTTCACTATTTTAGCAGGGCATAATTATTTCAGTTTCATTTAACTGGGAAGCAAGTAACTACTTTCTCTGATAGGGTCATTGTAAGTATTACTTTATTATTTTTATATTTGAGACGTATTAACCATATATGTATATAAATTTTAAATTGAGGTTATCTATCATGTATTATCTCTATCATCTATTTATTCAAAAGGATATTTCTGACTGCAGTCATGGTGGTGTTATAATGATTGTGTGTCTGCTTTTTCTTTTCTTTCTTTTTTTTTCTTTAATAGTATTTTATTTTTTCCCCCAATTACATGTCAAGAAAATTTTTAGCATTCATTTTTTACTGGATTTTGAGTTCCAAGTCTTTCTCCCTCCCTCCCTCCTCTCCCCTCTCCCTAAAATGGTAGGCAATTTGATATAAGTTATAATGTGCTATCATGTAGAACATATTTCCATATGTCATAGTTGTGAAAGAAGAAACAGATCAAAAGGAAAAAAACA